TAATCTAAGTTTGTCCTCTTACAGACCTTAAAACTAGACAAATTATTTAAACTTATGAGACTGTGTTACGTGACTTTTGAACAAGTTTTTTTATTCAACTTCACAAGGATAAAAGTGCCCCTAGTTGAAGAAACGCCCAATTATGACATTAAAAAAACATAAGGAGCACCACTCTAAGTTCCCTAAAATAATAAAATAGACTACTCATTGTGCAATGTAGTTTATTTGTTATTTCGACAAGGCTTAAGTTGTTTGACAGAAACACACACACACTAACAACAATTAAAATGTAGATGGGCGTCCGAACAAAAGAATGCCCCTGACGAAGGAATTTAGTGTAGCCTAATGTATGACGTTACACTTCATAAAACAGGCCAAGGGAAATCTGACTCTAGCGATTGAACAGGACGTTACGTACATTAATACATGTATTTATTTATGTAATGAACATGGTGAAATTAACCTTGTGCTTGCGAAAAGACAGCAAAACGGCTGAATTGCTTCGCCGGGGCGAAATCATGACGTCATGATTTTAGTACTGAAGTTGCGCATGCGCTGTGAGGGGGAAACAGGGGAACTGAACTCACCGGAACACCGGCACTCGTGCAGACCAGCTTCAGGTAAATACAGGACTTCTGTCACATGATTCTGTGCTCAAACTGTCATTTTAGTGCTCTTAAATATATGCTGGTAATTTGTTTGACTGTAGCATGTATATGCAGAATAAAGAAAAGAAAAAAACAAACAAAAAACGCGGTATTAACGAGACAGCTTGCACAATGTAAATTCACAAGAGCAAGTATATTGTTTGCACATGTGTATTTACATTAAAGGCAAAATAACTGAAATAATAAGCGCACAAGTATAGATCTGGAACTTCTTTAAGTCTGTCTAAATATCATTTAATAATTGCAATGTCTTCTGGTCCATCCTTTCCTTGAAGGTGTGCTAGACACTGATTAATGTAACATAAAAATACTATACATATTTATATATTTTGCTATTGTATTATGGAGTGACACTTTCATAAACTTTTCTATATTCTTCTGATTATATAATGGTAAATATTACAATAACATAGCACAACAACAGTGATCAGCAATAATGATGAGCCTAATACTCACAATAAAAATAATACGGTCATATAGATCATAACACAGTCTCGGAGGTAAGAAGTGGATTATCCTTCACCTGAAATGTTTGTCTTTTCATTCTGAAATGCGAGGCAAATGTTGGATCACAATATTAGGAACCACAGTCTCCACAAACCCCTTGACTCGATTGGGATGTTCTCTTTTATTCTGGACGGCACGGGTAGTGACTGTAACATCGAGCGTATTTTGCAGTAACCTATTAAGCTCGTATTTATACCGATTCCATCAGGCTCCGAAAATTCTTCAAAAAGAACACAAATAATGGCCTTCTCAGCTGCCATAGTTGCAACTCTTGTGTCATCAGAACAGGGTGTTCAACGCACCACCGTTTCCGTTTAAAAAACGTTTTGCACCGTTTTTGTCGGGGCTGAACGCAGCCCAGGAAAAGGCCCTTCTTCAATTTAATCAGGCGGAAATTAATGATGACCGACAACTGGCCAAAGAGCCTTTCATGTATCGTTTCCAATTCAAGGAAGATATGGAAGTTTTTCTTTGTAAGTGTCTGGACAAAAGGCACCTCAGGATTAACTCCATGTTTATGGAGTTTTGATTTATTTTATGAAGGTGTGCCTGCATAACTTCAATTTATTTATTTATTTAGTTTGATTTTGTATTTTTAATTAATTGTAATATGCTTTTGCTATTTAAGAGGGGAAAACACATTTTATTTAAATGAATCTTTTTTTTCTTCTTTTTTTTTTGTTCTATGAAAAAAACGTGGTTCGTTGTGAAATGAGTATAAATTGAGTATAAAAAAAATGCTTTTTCAATTAAATCAAATGTTCAAACGCTCAAGCTTTGTTTTTATTTTTTTGTTTTAAGATTTGTTCAATTTATATTGTTAATCATTTATGACACAAAAAAACAAATGGATAATAAACTATACTTAAAAAAAAAAAAAAATGACAACTGTCTATAGTAGTATGTCTTGTGTTAAAATTCGGTCCAAAACACGGAAGTAGTGGAATGCCTAGTAAGGCAACACTTGCTCCGCCCACTTCCGGCCTCAGACTGTTATGCCTTGTCCAAATACCCACACTTGCGTTCTTGGCCACTTGAGAGTGCGTGCGCGACTGTCCCAGGTCTTAAAGGGGTCATATGATGCGATTTCAAGTTTTCCTTTCTCTTTGGAGTGTTACAAGCTGATTGTGCATAGATAAGATCCCTGAAGTTGCAAAGACTAAAGTCTCAAACCCAAAGAGATATTCTTTATCAAAGTTAAGACTCTGCCACGCCCCCCTAAAACGGTTCGTTCTAACAAAAGCGAAAGCAAATGTAAACGTTATCGTGTTCTTAGCCAGAAAAAACCGCAGCTCCACCGTTTACCTCCATTTATTTTTAAGGCAGTCTTGCCTTCACAAACATGGCGGACGCGTTGACGTATCGCAGCAAAGGCTCAAAGTGGCCAATGAGGCGTCTAGGTATTTATTATGTCTATGATTTGGACAAAGGGTTAGTCTGGCGCTGTTGTCCTCAGACTGTCATGACGTATGGTTCTGCGGTTCTGCAGTTAGTCCTCCTACTAGCACTGTCACCTTACATCAAGAAGGTCACTGTTTTGAGTCCTGGCTGAACCGAACCTTTCTTTGCAGAGTTTGCATGTTCTCCCAATGGCTTCCCCCAAAATCCAAAGCAGAGTGGCTATTTACACTAAGTGCAAATAGCCCGTTGTTGGCAGAGACTATTTACACTAGCTCCACCCACAAACGTGTGATAGGGCTGGTCAACACTATAAAAGATGGCAAACAATTGTTAGCTCTAGTGGTGTAGATGGTAAAGCATGTCCCTTAGTCTTTTTGACGCGATCGACCCAGGTTCGAATCCGCCTTTTACCAAACTTTTTCTCACTTTTCAAATCTCATATCACATCGGAAAGGCATTTATTTTCAATAAAAATGAAGGAAATAATCAAAAAGTTGAAAATAAAATATCGGGTAGGTGTAGGGAGGTCTTTATTGTCCCAATAAGGTGGCATACATTTAATAATTAGGGGCCAAGCACCGAAGGTGCAATGGCACCTATTGTACCCATTGACGTTCTTTTTCTTCTTCTTTCCGCTCTGGAAGTCTATGGCAGCCCATAGAATCGCTTGTGGGAAAGTTTTGAAATTTGGCGCTCTGATAGAGCACAGTCTCAACATTAACCACAGCAAATTTGGAGTCTCTAACTCAAACTCTCTAGCGCCACCACTTGTCCATATTTTCACTCATGTTTATGCTAATAACTTTTGAACTGTAAGACACAGAGGTAAAATTATTTTTTCTTCTGATTCCTTGGCTCGTGTCGAGTCGATTGGACACTAAAGTTCAAAAATCGTAAGGTTTAGTTTTTTTCGCTATTTTTAATTGTTTGTAAAACCTACTTTTTCGAACTTGTCCTAGACGGTTCATCACATTTTCACCAAAATTGGCTCAGATCATCTTCAGACCATGCTGACAGAAAGTTATAGAATTCAAGTCGATTCGTCCAACTGTTCTCGAATAACGCGCAAACGAATTCTATGAAAAGCACACAGAAATGGATGTGAGGCTATATCTCCGCAATGGTTTGGCATATTGACACCAAACTTAGTGTGTGTTATAACAAGCATGACTTGAGGCTACATGCAGTGTTTTGGCAAAGTGCCACCTAGTGGTCAAGAGATATGAAAAATGACTATTTTTGCTTATAACTTCTGAATAGTTTGGCCAAAAATGGTCTCTTTAGATTCGGTGGAGCATGCTGAGTCAAACCATATCCAATTTTCCCATGTCAGCCATTTTGAATTTTGTCATAATATGCAATATTTTATGAACGCATTGACTTGTCGTTACGAAACTCAGTATGCGTCTTCGACACCATGCCCTGATGGTACTCAAAAAGTTTGGGGGCAGTGCCACCTTGTTATAATGAAATTGCTGAAAATGCTAATAACTTTTGCTTACATTGTAATGAGACTGATATTGATAGATTCCTTGGATCATGCAGAGAACATCGATACTGATTTTGCCATAATTGGCTGAACTTCCTGTCCGCCATTTTGATTCATGTTGAAAATCGATTCTATAAAATTCGAACTCCTCCTCAACCGTTTGTCCAATTTTCACCAAAATCGAGTCAAATCATCTTCAGACTGTGCTGACAAAAAGTTATGGATTTCGTGTCAATAGACAAAACCGTTTTCGTACAGTGCCACTACAAATTTAAGGCATGATGCCAAAATTACTCTGAGGCTTTATCTCTGCAAAGCTTTGACATAATGACAACAAACTTTGTGTGCGTCAATATCACCTCACACAGAACACACCAAAAGGATTTGATTAAAGCGCCACCTGTTGGTCAAAAGTGATAAGCCATTTAATCATATTACTAGAGGTTGTATTTATGATTTTTCAGCCATTTCAATTACAATCATCCTAAAATTGCTTTTATTACTCATTGTTGCATTTGGTCTGATGCTACATGCCATGTTTAGCTCCTCATGGGAAGTCGTGGCCTAATGGTTAGAGAGTCAGACCTGTAACCCAAAGGTTGTGGATTCGAGTCTCATACCGGCAGGGGTTGTAGATGGGGGGAGTGAACGTACAGTGCTCTCTCCCACCTTCAAGACAATGACTGAGGTGCCCTTGAGCAAGGCACTGAGCCCCACACTGCTCCCCGGGCGCTGCAGCAAAAAAAAAAAAGGCTGCCCACTGCTCGGGGTGTGTGTTCACTGCTGTGTGTGTGCACTTTGGATGGGATCAATTGCCATGAAAAATAAATAAAAAAAATAAGAAAAGAATATGAAAGAGAGAATAGTTGCTTGCAGAAGCCATGGATGCTATTGTTTTTTTGCAGATCTATGACTGACTCCACCCCCTAAACTTTCCCTTGACCTGTATCGTGCTCTCTCATTGGCTGTAGGTCGTCGCTGATGCATTTTAAGTCAAAACACGTTTCACATTGTAGGACTGTGGATTGTTGTTGCTGAAATTGTGCAGTGTGAACCCGAAGACACATAATTAACCCGGGTTTTGTTATTGCCTGTTTTTGGTTGTCCATGTATTTGCAAGCTTTGTTACATGTAAGTCATGTGACCGTTACACAGATTTAACTATTTGTTGTCAGCAATATGGACCAGGTCTCTGTAAATCCTTCCAAAACTCCACTTGGTCTCTCAAGCTTCGTGTCGTTGTTGCGATGAGTTTTGAATAGCGGCAGCGGTTGTATTCTACAGGGAAGACATTGAATAGGCTTCCATCAGGTGGATTGGTGAGAGCAATTCCTAAATGTGTCATACATTGACCTAGAAATACATCTTCTATGTAAACCGGTTTGACAAGTTGGGCTGCCTTAACAAGTTTCTCTGGCAGGTCTAGGGTGAAAACATATCCCAAGCCCAGAGCGTAGGGTGGATAAAAAGGGGGCTCGTAAACAGTTGTTGGAAGATACCATTTAGAATGAGGATCTCTCAGTACCACTGCATTCCTAGCCACAAGTCCAGTCATATAGTTCTGCTTTGGTGCAGACAGAAGCATATTGACTAAGGTTTTGACATTGAGAAACACATCAGAGTCAACTTTCATTGCATAGGAGGTATTCGGACAGTAAACAGTCAGCCATTCTAGCATTACCATTGTCTTAATGGTGAGATTGAAGTAACTGTCCCAGAAATCACTTTGTATGAGGTCATGATACTTCTCACTTTCCTGTAGCAAATTTTGTTGAAGCGTTTCTCGTTCTTCTGAAGTGGGGAGACCCAACAGAAATAATATGCTCACGGTCTTGTCTCCAACTAACCTCTCTGATCCCCAAGTTGAACGAATGGCATCCCGAGCAGCTGTATAGCTTGGAGGTACTGGTACCATTAATACCACAAAAGGGTTTTCCCTCTGGCACTTCTCTGGCTCATTCAAAATTAAATTATACTTGTGTGGGTATGCCACACAATATGGTTCCGGAGGCTTCCACGGTTCCACAGAAGTCACTGTTGGCACTGTATTCAGAGAATCGTTGACCATTTTAGTGATAAATTTCTCTGGAAGAAATAATCCAACTGCTACAGCCCAGGATTCTGACAGTTCATTGTGGACAATGTAGTAGCACAGGAACAGGACCAGGAAAATGGTGAATATAAAAAACGAACGAAGAGATCTGCATCCACTACTTGATTGGCCATGACTAAAAAGAGAAGAAATGTTTGACCTATCTTTTGACATGTTGTGTATTGATACATTCATCTAAATAAACTTTTGTTATCATTAATACACATAGTGATGCTGTACAAGGTATATATGATAAGGTACTACAGTTAATAAAAGCATCAAAAATCTTCAGTTAGATTTATTAGTTATATTTAATGTTTTGCAACTTATCTAAATCTGTATGCCACTTCTAAAAAGATTTTACAAATTGAATTGTTAACTGTACGGTACATTTCCTACAATGTGGGTAGTAACTTACATAAAAATATGTTATGTCTTAATAATTTAATATACAAATTAAAACAGAAGCATCTGTGCTTTACCTTTGTTTTTCACAGACTTCCACCATATTTCCTCTGTTTGTAGAATTTCATACGCATTATCAAGCACTACCATGACATGGCACCGTGCACGGTGAACGTTAAGTACATAGTGAGACAAACCTTTTTTTTGCATAACTAGTTCCACCCCCTTCCACATCAGAGATAAGTAGGAAACAACATTGTCTACTATGATATATGCCACAAACATTAGTGAAGATCATCTGAATTACACAAAGCCAGTCACTGACTTAGATACTAACATATGATTTTCCAACACATTAGTATAATAATCAAATATAATGAGGTCATGCTAAGAGATCTTAAAAGTAGAATAAATTGTACTGGCTAGTAATGCTACAGTACGTGTACGAACATGTTAAAAATACAGTGTCTCTCTCCAGGGGTTGGCCATAATTATTTTTGTCATATGCGACTGAGGACAACACCATGGTTACAATAAAAACATTACCATCTCAGGGTATTGTACTATGGTTATCAAAGGTAAACAAAACTCAAATCTGTTAATCTGTGTGTGTGTGTGTGGGGGGGGGGGGGGGGGGGGGGGGGCAGAGTCCCCATATTTTGATACCGTTTTATGATGCTGTTTTGAATATACCTGTATGGATGTAAATTGTCATTACCTTAGTGACATTTGTGAGTTTTGTGTCACACAATAGACCAAAAATAAATAAAGAAATGTAAAAAACCGCAATGTGTCAACAGTGAGGAAATCAAAAGTAGTCAGCAGCCTGCTGGAGGTAGTCTAATTATCATTAGCAGGTTCAGCTATTATTTAAGTCAAAAAGGGTCAGTGATGTTGAAAAATAATAATAATTTCAAGCCACATGATAATCAGTGGCGGCTGGTGGAAAGTTTTCAACGTATGGCTGTGCTACAACAGTTTTAGCAAACATTACTTTATTTAATGCTAAAGAGATAAAGTAAAAGTTTAAGAAAAAACACTTGAGAAACATTTTAAATAAAGATAATTGTTAATAGTTCGGATAAAGTTTAAGAATGATTCTCACAAATCAAAGCTTTTTTTTCAAGGTAAAAAAAAGAAAAGAATAAGTCACAATTTCTGTATACGGTGCAACAGCAAAGATACATAGAATATTTGTTTATGTATACAAGTCAAGCACAGGAGATGTCAACAGACACTAAAGGGGGACATAAAGGGAAAGCATATATTTGCACAGATGATGTCATATCATATCATATATCATGAAGCAAACATCAACTTTTTTCATCCTTTTTTAATTATAAATGGGCCTATAATTATTAATTTGTGTGTGGCTCGGCGAGGGCGGCTCCCTATCGCCCTCTATTGGCCAGCTGTCACTGATGATAACAAACATGAGAGTAATGACAAGTATGCAAGTTATTATTTGACATGTTATTATTTGGCTTAACAAAGCAACATTCTTCATTGTACAATTAAAGAAAAGTCTAAACATACTCGTGTGCTCTAATGTCATTTGAATATTCTCGAAAATATATTTTTTAATTCCCTTTAATGTTCGAAAGCATTGTTATTTACTACTACATGCAAAAAATATTCACATTCTTGGAACCACACTGTAGTTTTTTTCTTTTTTCTTTCATTACATATTGTACCAGTGACTTTAAGTATGCCTAAAAAGATGTTAATTTGAATCCTTGAAGTAGATATAAACCTTTATTATGTTTTTTTTTCCAAAAGAAATATTGCATATAATAGGTACCAATTATTTTGCTTACCAGATTCTTGAGCTGCTTGAGCTTGTGTTTTCAGAAATATGGATTCATAAATTATGTAAACCACAAATACCAAAATGTTGAAGGTAACTGCAATTAAAAGGCTGCGACTTATCATTCATGGTAATGTGGTGTGGCCTGAATGAATAATTTCAATCACAATATAAATGTATAAAATGGAACAATATTCACAAACACAGACACGGTTTTATGTTTAAGGGCAAATGAACACATCATATGCAAAACCTCAGTAATTTTAATGGTACAGATAATTATTTTATTGATTTGTAACAGAAATCACATTCCAACAGATTTAAAAATCACATGTAGAAAATAATAAATCCAACAAAGTATGAAGAGATATGCAAACAATAGATCAGATGTTATTGCAGCATGTTGGCTGACTGGCAGTTGTGCCATTGCCCTTGCTTTGACTATTACTCTTATTGCTGGCTCAAGAAAAAGAGTGTCTCTCCAGCACTCTCTGGGCGTCCTCTTTAGCATCCAAGGTGGCCGCTCGCTCTTCTTTACAAATCATTTCATGTTCACACTTCAGCTCGTGGTATGAACGAGAAAAAACATGGAAGATAGATGTAGCTGGAAAAGCCATGATAAGAATACCACTCAGTATGCTGCTAAAGGCAACAACCTGGCCAGGTATACTGTGTGGTACCATGTCACCGTAGCCAACTGTCGTCATGGATATGATAGCCCACCAATAGGAAGCAGGAATGCTGCTAAAGCTGTGGGGCCCAGTGGGCTTGTTCTTTGTGAATTCTTTCTCTGCCAAATGTACGAGAGGTGAGAATAGAGCTACAGCCACGCAGAGGAAGAGAAGCAGGAGTCCAAATTCTCGCATACTCCGTTGTATTGTAAGACCCAGGGTCTGAAGGCCCAGTGAGTGTCGTGCCAGTCGCATCACATACAGGATTCGCAGGGCACGCATGACTCGCAGAATTAAACCCAGCTTATCTAAATATCCACGACCAGCGCTACCATTAAGCTCGGCTTCTTCAGATTCATCTTCGCTATCGACAACCAAAGAAATGTAGTATGGTAGAATGGCTATGACATCTATTATATTAAGTGGATTTCGAACAAATTGCAGTTTGCTTTGAGCCTGCAGGAAGCGCAACAAAAACTCCATGGAGAACCAGGCCACGCACACCGTTTCCACTATGAATATGTTGCGACATTTTTCTGAGCATTCACCCTGTAAAAGAAAAATCAGGAGAAATCGGGTGAATGTTTAGATTTAACATCACTTACTAAAGCATGGTCTGCAAAATCTGTATAAAAAAAAAAGACAATTTAACTATTGACATTGACATTTTTGCTTTATTAAAGGAAATATGTAATGAAACACAGATTCAAAATTGAAAGCGGGGTGGGGGTGCAGTTACTGAGATAAAGTGTGTAGTATTTGGCTGGTCATGGGACATCTCACACTGTCAGTCCTAATGAGGCAGCTTGATGACATTTCCAGAGTTCTCTGTGTGACAGCTCACATTTGATGGTTTTTCATTTCTTCTTATATATTTTTTTCTTATTAGTTATGTACATTTGTTGTTAAATTAATTTTAATTACTTTATTGTTGTGCCATAAAGTATGTGTTAACATGATAGCATTTTGTATTTTCATGATAATACTGTGCACCTACTACAGTATATATTTGTATTTACCTCAGCTTATTCTCTTTACCACCTGGGTTTTAAAGGTGGTTGTCAGTACACCATAAAGGTAAAAATTGATTTTAGAAATTTGGTTGGTTAATATTATTTCAATTGATACATTTTTAATAATACAGCTTTTATAAGGCTATTGTAAGTCTATTTTAAGTGTACTAATCATTTTGTACCTTTTTAGTTATTTAAATTAAAACTTTATTGAGAGAAAAATTAGTGCACCTTTAATCCTTTGAATTCTGGCCCTGGGGACCCACTGCTCTGCCCATTCTGTATGTCTTCCTCATTTAACACAACTGATTCAGATCATCAGGAGAGAGCTCAATGAATTGAGTGTGTCAGATAAGTGAGACATACTAAATATGCAGAGCGGTGGGTGTCCAGGACCAGAGCTGAGAACCACTGGTGTTAATAATCTGTAATTTTCAGAACTCTAAATCCCTTTCAACAGTTCAATTAAGCTTTGGATATGCACCTTTGACACTGAATGGCTTCCAGTTATCATATTTTTTTATAAAAAACATGATTATTATTTATTAATTTATTTATTTTTGGCTCCCCAGCTCCCTGATCTGTTCTGGCTGCTGGATCCCTTCTTCCCCATCACCACTCTCCAGACTCTTGCCACCTTGCCCTCCTGGCTCCCCTCCTCTTCCTGCAAGCACCTTACTGTGCCACATTCAAGCTGTTTCTTCAGGAAATTATCAAGGTGTTTAAAACACCCAGTCGCTGGCTTGAAATGAAGCAACTCTATGTTTTCAGGGAGGGGCACAATTCTGATATTCAGAGTGAGATTGCCATCCATGACCTGCCAACATTGTTTGTTGGCCTGGTGGAGCTGACATGCAGCAACCTACACTTTCAATGTGTCATGGCAAAATCCACCTGGTCCTGTTTCCAAAGCTGTTCATGCAGACTAGGAATTAAAAAATGTAATCTAATAAATCTGAGTAAATCTGGGGGTTCGAACATTCCAATACACAGAGCAAACTGTGCATGTGATTGTCATTCACATGACTCTGTAAAACTAATACATGCCCTGATACGGGTCTTCGCTGAAGATCGCTGCAGCACTCTCAACATGTGCCTCGAAGCTTCAGTGTCACAGGTAACATCACTAACATTTGGTTTGGATAAGGGAAGTGGATGAGTGGAAGATGGCCTTTAACACCCCTACTGTGCACTCAGGTGATGCCCTTCGGGCTTACGAACACCCCGGCTGTCCAGGCCCTGATAAATGATGTGCTCAGAGACATAATTGATTTGTCTTTGTGTACATTGATTCCCCATCTTTGCAGGCCCACACTCAACATGCCTGACAGGTGCTGCAGAGGCTACTTGAAAATCAACTTTATGTCAAAGTGGAGAAGTGCATATTTCAAGCTGACAAATGTGAGGGCTGTCTCAGAGTGGCCAGTCCCTGACTCTCATAGAGCACTGCAGCGGTTCTTAGTGTTTGCCATTTTTTATTGCTGTATCATTAGGCATTATAGTCAGACCACTGCCCCTTAACTGTTCTAGCCTACACTACACTCAAGTACCTTTTAGGTGATCATAGCAGAAACATGGGGATTTTTATGAAAATGTTTCACATCTACACTTG